TTTGGCTTTCAAAAAACCTGTGACACAGCCCATTAAAGGAGATGGAGGCAGCGTACTTTAATGGAGAAATGAGATGGAAAATGCAGCAAAGAATTAGCAGCCCTTGCTTGTATATGAAAACAAAGCCTTTCTTCAGTTCTTGAAAAGCTTACAGTCTAACTTGCTGTGCTTACAATGTAGGCGAGCTATTCTGTCTGTAAGAAACACTGATAATGCTGGAAGGATGTGGTATGATTACAGCAGTAGCTTTTCACAGATCACAGCTTCTAATTTGTGACACAACAGATTAGGATAAGAACATGGGGGGAGGGTGAGAAGGCCAAGATGGAGCATGACAAAACGGGGAAGGAAGTTGTGGTTGCTTTATTCAAGAATAAATTTATAATCATGGTGGAGAAGGGATTATTTGCTTATATTTTCTGTTTGCTTTACTACCATAGTCTGCAAGTGGTGCTGCGGAAGTATTTTTACAGTAGATTTGAATGAGTAAGTGGCTGCAAACTGAATGCCTTCGCCATTGTATGATAAGGAGCACATATGTAAAATACAAATTTATGGTTCATTGGTACATATTACCCTCTTCAAAAGCTTCACAACAGTTGTCTCTTTTCACATTCATTATAAATTATCATGTCATGTCTATGGGAAATATCTGTTGTATGACGAGCTTTAACAAATTAGCCAATCCCATCCAAACCACGTTGTTTAATCAAAAAGCATATTATTAGTTTGTATAATTTACTGCTGATAATTTGTGTACATTCCCATAATATTTAAAATCCCAGAATGTTCTTTTATATTGCTGTTGAAACGGATTCACATTATACACCTGCCCTTTCATTCAGGGAGTAAGAAAAATATAGTAGAATGAGACGAAGGGAGCTGTATAACTGTTCTTACCCAGAAGTTCCTCAGTTCTTCCTGATTTACCATAAATCAGAACACTAGCATACAAAGTGTTGTGTAGGACATGATCAGCATAACTCTTGTTAGCTAAGCAAATACTTTCAGCAAAATCAAAACTTGTTTGTAACTTGACTGTATTGTCGTAACTTTGAAGCACAGTCCCCATTAGTTGCACTAACAAGGAGTTGACAGCCACCTAGATGTTTAGAATTTCTGAATTTCTTGCAGGCATGAAGCTTTGACCAGTGTAAATGAACTGAAGAAATCAGTTTGAGCCAGGCAATAACTGGTGTGGAAAATTCTGCTTATGCAATATTGAAGACACAGATAAAAAAATTTAGATGATGTCAAGAAATTCAGTTACTTCAAAAATTTAGTTGTTTTTTTTTTGTTGGTTTTTTTTTTTAAGCATGCTGTGAACTGTTGATGTTCTGCTGCTTCCTTCTTGTAGGACACTTTGATTTGATTTTGTGTGTTCTATGCAACTACAAAAAGAATACCGGTTATTTCACCATCCCATTTCCTTACAGTGACCCCAGCACACAGACAGTCAGTATGGTCACATCGCTAGCTTTCCTTGTCACTCCTTTTATATGACTTGTGTCACATTTCTGTTTTCCTTTATCTACCAAAGAAAGTGTTGATGCCAATGCCTTTGTTTTTTGCTGGAAAAAAATAAATGCTTTTTTCTTGTCTTAATCTGTATCTTCTGGCATAATGCTGAAATGGAAATCAACAGAGCCATAACCTGTTCCTTAAATGATTCATGTGAGAGTATAACTTCAATCTACTTCATAGACATTTCCAAAATATATTTTTAAGCACAGGAAAATGTTAAGTTTGTAGCATTTTTTTTAGCTGTACCACAAAACTTACGGTATTTTTTTTTTCTTTTTGGATGGAACAGGGAGTGTGTTACAGGTCTAGATTTTTTTCTTAAAATGCCGACTAGATTTTGGCATCAACAAACGGCATTAAATTTTAAGATCTCTTCCCCTGAAGTGGTGTTAGTTGTCTGCAGCAGAGATTTCCTTAAATCTCTTAGATTCCTTGAATTGCTGGCACAAAGTCATGCTGGTGTGTGCTGTATAAGCTGTAGGAGGGCAGCAAAGCCATTGATTTTTTGGGGTGGGTTAAGCTGATTGTTAGAAATATTAAGAGCTCTGAGGGACAATGCCCCTATTCATGGTACTGTAAAAGGTAGATGATTACTGGTCGTAATCTTCAGGGTCTCATTCTGTGAGAAGTTAATGAGTTAGACTGAAACTTTGTAATGTGTTTTGTAAGAAGATAGCACAAATGATGTTACTGATTCTCATCTTCCAGCTGTAAACTGCTAGCATGACTTAAACAGATTTACCCCTGACTTTGGTAATGCCTAGTTACCAGGATCAGCTTCACTGTCTTTTTGTTTTGTAGTATATTTTAGCAAACTGTGTAAAATGGTATGATGAGGAAATAGCAGTGATTTTAGTCACTCTGTAAGTTTCAAAGTGCTGTCATTTTGTTTGCACACTGAGGTGAAATTAGGTTCTGGCCCTTCATATGGTGGAAGTGTTGGATGTACAAAAGCTGGGATATCTTTTTCCTTTGTTACTGGTGTGCAGCTTTACTGGTGTGCATTACTCACTGTGATGGGCTGACCCTGCCTGAATGCCAGGTGCCCACCAAAGCTACACTGTCTCTGCTTTCCTCAGCTGGACAGGGTAGAGAAGACAAAATGAAAGTCTTGAGCATTGAGATAAGAACAGGGAGAGATTATTCACCCATTATCATCATGGGCAAAACAGGCTTGACTTGGGAAAATTAGTTTTAATTTGTTACTGATTAATCAGAGTAGGATACTGAGAAATAAACCAAAAATACAGAATCATAGAATGGTTTGGGTTGGAAGGGACCTTAGAGCTCATCCAGTTCCAACCCCCTGCCATGGACTGGGTCACCTTCCACTAGAGCAGGTTGCTCCAAGCCCTTTCCAACCTGGCCTTGAACACAGCTAGGGATGGGGCAGCCACAGCTTCTTTGGCCAACCTGTGCCAGGGCCTCAGCACCCTCACAGAGAAGTTCAAAGCTAGTGCACTTCAGAGAAAATCTTTAGATGAGCTTTCACTTGGCGTTGTTCTTGAAATCTCCTAACATTCACCTTCTAATTTTGTCATTGTGGCATGCCTGAAACTATCAAAACTCCTTGCAAGAGTCTTGCAGAAGGCACCCATCTCCTTCTTTTAAACAACTAATGCCTCACTCACCACATCTTTTATTTCCATTTTCTTTTTTCAATACACTGACTGCAGAAGGATACAAGATTGACAGTAGTGAATTTCTGCCCCACCTCTGCAAAGCTTAGTATCTAGTCCAGCCAGAAACAAGGAAGATATTGCATACTGGCTGGATCCTCGGCCTCATCCTCAGCCCCAGCATCCATCAGGGTATTGTGAAAGAGGAAACTTGTGTTCCAGAGTAGATAAGAAACACCAAAATTTTCTTTGCCTTTCTTACCCTTCTACAAGAGCTTGCAGACACAAAAGAAACATGGTGCCTGCCAAAATTTATAACCTCCTCCCTGAATCTTCCTCATGGCATCCCCTCTCCCTTCCCTCCTGAGGTACAGCACAAGCTCCACATTAAAGTTCTTTGCTTTTACTTGTGCGTGTCCCTGCCTATTGTCAGGGAGGTTGGAACTAGATAAGCTTTAAGGTCTCTTCCAACCCCAAGCAGTCTTATGATTCTATGAATTTTGTTGCTGTAGAAGGGGTGAGCATGTCACTATATAGTTTGGCCAGCATAGTATGTGTTGCAGCGAAAATTAATGTGCTGAGGCTCAGAGTGGTAACTCTGGAATATCGAGAATCAACCATATGTTAAAATACCTTTATTTTGTGCTTCCTTCATGCGTTAGATTTATTATTACCTTAAAAAGCAAAGAGGCATAGTAGGAAGAGAAACAAGAGTTTCTTCTTGAATTGATATAGCTGTTAGTACACATGTGGTCTCTGAAATGTTTCTGTCATGCTTCTTTTCTTGCAGAGGACCCATAATCAGATAAAATATTAATAACACTGGTCATAAAATATTTAGTTCTTAGAATGAGAATGTGTAACCGTGGTGCTCAGTGTGTATAATACATTAATGTATTGTATACATAATACAGGATCATAACAGCTCCTGTATGCACTGTGAATGTATAATAGATATAGTTGTTCTAGTCTTAAATTTAAATGTGATGTTCCAAGCATGGTCTGTAATTAGTGGCTAATTACAGAGAGTTGTGTTAAAAAATAGTTTGCAAAAATTTATACATACTAAGAAATATGATTTCTCTGTTTTGTCATTTAGTATAGAAATGTGGTTACTACTTATGCAGGCCAAAGAGTTCCTTGCATTCTGGGACGCAGTCATACTTCCTTTAAAAAAAAATAAATTATGATACAGTTTATACAAATAACTACTCTAAGAATCTTATCTTTGCCCTGGCATACAGGCACACTAAAAACTAAGGCCTAACAGCTTCATTTAATATCTTTAATGATTGTCCCCACCCTCCCTGGTTTCCCCCATAACTGGAAAAACCCCTCATGTCTTGCAAAGTACTGCATTAGCTGACTAAATTCTTAACTCTTTTATCTTTATTCAGTGCTGAGATTAAGACTGTTGAATAAATACAGAGATTGGGGATACTGGTAATGACCAGTCCAATTAGTACTGCAAGGTCCAGCTCTATTTTATCTTACCTATCCTACTCTGGTGGGCCTGGAGAGTATGTAAATGTAATTGAAGTGGAGGTTGCAATAATGAATACAGGTATCAAAGAATTATTTTTCAACCACTTTTTTAAAATAATAAATTTAACCATTGAAATGTCGACCAGTTTGTTTCTGTTCTGGGATTTTTTTTTTTCAAGAAAAAAGAATCCTGAGGAACTGTGCTCCTGATGACAGGAGCAGGTTCCTTGGTTTTGTATTAGCTCTGAGGTGGGAGCATGGGATACCATTCACCATCCTCAGTTCAACAGGAAGGTGATACCAATGAAAAATACACCTTACATGAAACTTTTAATAACGTTAGCTATTAAATTTTTATTTTTTCTCCTCCAGAGAACAAATTTGGTTGGAACGAGTAATGCAGATTTTCCCTCAGGGGATCCCGGAATGTACCAATTGGACGTTACTCTAAGAAGAGGACAGAATCTAGCAGCACGGGACCGTGGAGGTAAGTGTGCTGGTAAACACTTCCTTAATGTTTGAGAAGTCACCTGTCCATTGGGCAAATTTATATGAGGGTATTAAAGTTACAATTAAGGTTGTAAGTATTTTCATTAAGCTCTGCTTAAAGCTGTGTAGTTTAAATGACAATGGGCAAGAATGTTAGCTTCTGTGAAGGTGTTTCAGAAGGATTATAATAAGTTTTATCTGAGTCAAAAATACACTTAATGGCTTTTAGAACAACTAGGGATGTGCAGGTCTGGAAGAACTAGTTTTTAAATGCTCAGCTTCCTTATCACAGAGGTAGTGAGGATAAGATGCTGAAAATATATATAGGAGCTTGGCATGCTTGTTACTCTGGAGTTCATGTAAAATTAAGTAGATAAGTGGACCAGCAATCACAGTATATAAAAAACATTTACAGGATGCTTATTTTAAAGGTATTTTAAGGGTATTTATTATTTTTTATTTAAAATTATTTGCTCATTAGGTAGGCAACACTTTTTATCTGTATCTGAGTAAATATGCCTAAGATTGAAAAGAGACTACTGGAGTTTTAGTTTTATTTTCTGTAGAGAGAGGATAACTTTTGTTAAAATGGAAACTGGATTTCATTATAATTTTCAGCAGCTACAGATCAGAGTTGCTCCATGTAAAATGTCGACTGGGAAAAATACTTCCAATTTTCCTTTCTATGCTATAGTCTTGCTGCTACTATTTTGCTCTCTGCAGCAGTGCAGTGGTTTCTCTTCCCATTGTATATTTTCTGCTCACCAAAAGGTAGCCAGATCTTATTCAGGGCCCTGGCTGCTCTGACTCATCCCTGATGGTGATGGGGAATAGCTTACTTTTGCCATGTAGAAAAGAATGGAGGAATGAGCAGAGAGGAGTAGTTGGAAACGGGGTTGCACATTTAGCCTAAAGTGCATCTAATAATTTAGCATCTAATGTGCTACAACAGCTTTGTTCATCCAAGCAAGGCCCTGTGTGCCCAAGTCTGCTGCACAACAGGCTCAATCGGTTGGTTTGGTTCCTTCTGCTCTTTACTTGAGCCTTTGGTGCTCCATGTGGGGTCCTTACAAGCCTGAGCTGCATTGTCCAACAAAACAGCTTATATCAGATCAACGCAGAGCATTTTTCTTCTCATGTGGCTTTCTGTCATGCCAGGCATTCTTACAGTCCTTGCATGGTGGTGGTACCCGACTGTCCTCTTGAGAACTTCAGAGGGAAAAGCTTCTCTCATTTGCATAGGAAGCTGAAGGAAAATCAGTCCATCATTTGCATCCTGCTGGTCGTAGAATCATAGAATGGTGTGGGTTGAAAGGGACCTTAAAGCTCATCCAGTTCCAATCCTCTGCCATGGGCAGGGACACCTTCCACTAGACCAGATTGTTCCAAGCCCTTTCCAACCTGGCCTTGAACACTGCCAGGGATGGGGCAGCCACAGCTTGTGTGGGTAACCTGTGCCAGGGCCTCACCACCCTCACAGGGAAGAACTTCTTCCTAAGATGTCATCTGAATCTCCCCTCTGTCAGCTTAAAGCCATTTCCCCTTGTCCTGTCCCTACAGGCCCTGCAGTGTTTAGGTAATCAAACAGGGCAAAATGATGGGCAGTCTAGTTATTTTTTATAGTTATGAAAATCAGTTTGAGTGGGAATATTAACTTATCTTCCTATCAGGAATAAGAAATGAGCTGTTTTTCAGTCAGAATACTGTATCTTGACTTCTAATGGTGCTTCCCTTCTGTATTGATTTGTAGCTGGCTTACCATAGTCATATTCTTGGTAGCTCTCACTATAATAAGAAATTAGAGTCTTGCCAAAAGGAGCGGTTAATGGTTCTATTGTATATAGAATCGTAGAATCACAGAATGGTTTGGGTTGGAAAGGACCTTAAGATCACCTAGTTCCAACCCCCTGCCACGGTCAGGGACACCTCACACTAGACCATGTCACCAACATCTCTGTCCAACCTGGCCTTGAACAGTGCCAGGGATGGAGCATTTGTCACTTCTCTGAGCAACCTGTTCCAGTGCCTCACCACCCCCACAGGGAAGAACTTCTTCCTTGTATCTAACCTGAGCTTTCCCTGTTGAAGTTTAAATCCTTTAGTTACCCCTTGTCCTATCACTACAGTCCCTAATGAAGAGCTGCTCTCCAGCATCCTTGTAGGCCCCTTCAGATACTGGAGGGCTGCTATGAGGTCTCCACGCAGCTTCTCTTCTCCAGGCTGAACAGCCTCAATTTTCTCAGCCTGTCTTCATATGGGAGGTGCTCCAGTCCCCTGATCATCCTCATGGCCTCCTCTGGATTTGCTCCAACAGTTCCATGTCCTTCTTATGTTAAGGACACCAGAACTGCACGTAGTACTCCAAGTGGGGTCTCACAAGAGCAGAGGGGCAGGATCACCTCCCTCGACCTGCTGGTCACATTGGTGGGGATGCAGCTCAGCATATGGGGGGTTTCTGTGCTCCAAGCACACACTGAAGCTGGGTCATGTTCATTTTCTTATTGGCCAACACCCCCAAGTCCTCTGCAGGGCTGCTCTGAATCACTTCTCTGCCCTGAAATATTCCTTTTCTGATTGCTGTCTGTCATTGGTACTCTTATCTTAGAGAGTTTGATGAAGAAATGTTGCTGTGCAAGTTAAGCTATAAAGCTAAAAGAAATAGCAAAATGATCGAAAATGAACCTTCTGGCTAAGAGCAGTACAAGCCTGTCATTAGGAGTGGTGTGTCACCCTCGGTGAAGTCTGGTGACTGCAAAAATTCAGAGCTGATTATCTTCTGTCTAAAAAAGATTTCAGCACTGACTGTGTTCAGAATTTGACTTCAACCCAGGAAAACCAAAACATTATATTTCTATATAATGGCCCTTACTGGACTGTACAGGAGGTCAGATTTATGCAAAGGACATGCTGTGTTTTTCCTGAAGTGATACAAAGCTTCTGGTATGCTTATTTTTTTATTTATTTGTTGCCATGTCCCAAACAGGAAATTGAATCATGGGCACAGTTTAGCCCCCAGTGATCTTGATCTAAACATGCAGACATGTGCAAAAGACAGATACTGGCTGTTGAGGAAGTGTGAGGAGCTTCATTTCATCTGCAGAAGAGTCCCACTTTTCATAGGAGTAGCACAGTGTGAAGGCTTTGGTGTGAGTTAAATGGCATGAAGTTGAGAAGCAAGGAAGAAGTGGGTTTAAATGAGAGCAATCCTTTGTAGATGAGAAGAAATTCCTGTTGGAGGTCAAAATTTTCCTACTAGTCCAGTAGGAATGGCAGGAGATACTTCCAGGGTGCAAGGTGGAGTTTCCCATTGTGTTATTATTCCAGTCCCTTAGGGCTTTTCAAAGTGGGAATCACAATAATTGCTTGCTGATTAACCCATATACTTCATCCAAAGCACACGTGGCTTGGCTTTGTAATTTGCTCAAGTTCTTTCTTGTAAATTTCATCTAGAGGTATCATTTGGAAGTTTTTTCTCCCGAATTATAAAACTGTAGTTGTGCTTCCATTTTTATCAGTTCCAAAAAGTATAAAAATAATAACAATTTTTTTGAAGACTCTAGAAATAACATTACGGATGAGGATTTTTTTTTTTCTGTACCTTTTAATCTTTGGGGTTTTATTTTTACCATCACTTAGAGGTGGCTATTTCTGGTGTAAGAACAATAAAGAAAACAAACATGTTTCTTCTTTTTCTCTTCTGTGATAAATGCACCATCGTATTGGTTATTCAGTGCATACATTTATGTAATAATGAATCTGAAATGATTTGCCTTTCTTTTAGTTTAATTTGTGTGATACTTTAAGCATCATACGAATAGGTTTATCATTCACTTTAATTTCACAAGACAATGTATTGCATAGGTACATGGTTTTTTCCTTTGCTAGACGTGGAAGAAATTGCTAACATTGCACATTACAGAATGTGCTTGTTTATCACTGTTGTTTGTGGGGATTAAGCTTTCATTCCTTTTTAGTAGCTTTTGTTCTCAAAGAAGTTACAAATATTCATAAAAGGGGAAAAAGCAAGTGTGTAAACTGGATACATCTCTGTACTGTTGTACGAATGTAGGTGATCACTGGGTCTTCCCAAGTTGTAAGCATCTTCCCCTAGCTATGAAGTGATGAAGATAAAGCAAGAGGACCCTGCCAGCATTATAATAAGGTAGAAAAAGAAAGTTTAGTAGGCTGTCAAGTCACCTGTAGAGCCTCCCACTGCTATTGGCAAATGCAGATACCTGTGTCAACAGTTGAGTGATGTTGCTAAGCATTGTTTATGCCAAGAGTAAAAACCTGTTGGTGTTATAGATGGACACCAATTTCACTCTTAAGAGAGAAGTAGCAATTTATTTGTTTATGTAAAATAACAATTTGATAGAGTTTGATAGTAAATGTGACAATGGTTTAACAAGGTTCAGTGGTGAGGTACACTTCGGTATTTACTGCATTGACAGTCAGAGGCCCTCCTGTTGAGTTACAAGGTTCAGAAAGTACCCGCTTGTGTTCTAAACATCTTCTCAGAGTGGAGTCTAGGTACAGCTAGATCCACACTTAGTGCCAGACTTGGTCCATGGTTTATGTCTAAAGGATTTTATGTGCACAGTCAGTCCTTTCAATCACTTAGCTAAGACTTTAGAGTTCAGCATGGTGTTAATCACTTACTAGGGTCTCTTGCAGAAAGGAATCTCAACCTCAAGGAATAGCATTGAGAGGTGTCACTACTCAAGGGGAGACCCTGAACTGCAGCCTGCTGTCATGCAGGAGAGCTCCATGGGCTCTGGGCTGTCTACCAGCTGTGGAGTGAGATAGTTGACTCATAGTCGTGTTTGCATACCGACTACAGAAACTTGTCTTGAGTTGAACCTTGACCAGCGCTATGCTTGGGGTGTGCATGTTGGTCAGATTAGGTGTTGTTATATGTCTCCCCTGAATCTACATTGAGCTGTATACAGCTGTTGTGACCAGACACATCCATTACCACCACCATTGATGACTATCACT